CAGATAAGGCCGTAGGCTAGGTAAGGTTTTATAATCTTCCTTCTCAAGGTTCTAGATTGGCGTTTAAAGCAGATAAGTTCATTCAATAAGCATGCCTCACTGTGTGCCAGGGATTGTCTGAGGAGCCAGGGGTGCAATCAATAGAACACAGTTCCTGCTGGTCAGGAATTCACAGCAAAGTCGTTCAAACAGCAAATAATTACCATTCACTATGTGCCGGAAATCATTTTAAGTGGTTTGTTTATTTATTTATTTATTTATTTTTTGTTTGTGTGTGAGAAAGATCAGCCCTGAGCTAACATCCATGCTAATTCTCCTCTTTTTGCTGAGGAAGACCGGCTCTGAGCTAACATCTATTGCCAATCCTCCCCTTTTTTTTTCTCCCCCAAAGCCCCAGTAGATAGTTGTATGTCATAGTTGCACATCCTTCTAGTTGCTGTATGTGGGACTCGGCATCAGCATGGCCGGAGAAGCAGTGCGTGGGTGCGCACCCGGGATCTGAACCCGGGCCGCCAGTAGCGGAGCAGGAGCACTTCACCACCACGCCACGGGGTGGCCCCTCTAAGTGGTTTATACACATGTGAACTCTTGAGTCCTCACAACAACCCTCGGAGGCAGGCACTGTTCCCCTCATCACCACCATCCTCATCACGCTCATTTTACAGATGCAGGAAGTGAGGCAGAAACAGACCAAGTGACTTGTCACAATTAGAGAAGAGTGACTCTTTGTAGACTTTGAAATCAGGCTATTTGGCACCAGAGTCTTCTGGTGATGAGAGGCCAGGGACACTTCCAGGAGGAGGCGGCCTCCCAGCTGTGACTTGGAGAAAAACAGAGAGAGAAAGGCTAATACAGATAACACCCCAGTTAAAATTTGAATTTCAGATAAACAACAAATAATTTTTTATTTAAGTATGTGCCATCAGCAGGCCCCGTGGTTTAGCAATTAAGTGCGCGTGCTCCGCAGCTGGCAGCCTGGGTTCGGATGCTGAGCACGCACCGACGCACCGCTTCTCTGGCCATGCTGAGGCCGCGTCCCACATACAGCAACTAGAAGGATGTGCAACTATGACAAGAACTATAAACTGGGGCTTTAGGGAAAAAAAAAGCAGGAGGATTGGCAATAGATGTTAGCTCGGAGCCGGTCTTCCTCAGCAAAAAGAGGAGGATTAGCACGAATGTTAGCTCAGGGCTGATCTTCCTCACCAAAAAAAAAAGTATGTGCCAAATATTGCATGGGACAAATTTAAATGGACATTCTCTATTTTTATTTGCTAAATATGGCAAAACTACCCATCATTCAGGCGTTTCTTTGTATAAAGATTGCTTGTCAGGGGATGATGGTGTGGAGAAGATGAGACTGTAGAGCCAAAAGGGGGAAGGTCATAGAGAGCCTTGGACGCCATGCTTAGTATTTTATACTTTATTCTCATAGAAGGATTTAAAAGAGGCGAGATTAGAGGCCCAGATTAAATGTGTACTTTATGAAGTTCTCTCAGGACAATGTGGAGGAAGGATAGGAAGGAAATAAGAAGCAGGGAAACTACTGTGACAGTCCAGGGGAGAAATTACAGTGACTTGGACAGAGGCCAGGGGGCTGAAGAGGAGGGGTGGTTTCAAGAGGTAGTAAAGAGAAAGAAATAGGGCTGGCTTCACAGGGGTGTCACCTGTGCAGTTGCACAGGACCCTGAACTCAGAAGGGCCCCACACTTATCTTAATGCTCTGCTGTTGCCAATTGAAATTCTTAATAATTTAATCTGTGAACTTGTGTTTTTTTTTTTTTTTTTTAAAGAAACTTCCGTAATTCTGGGGTGAGCAAAGGCTTTTTTGTGTGTGTGTGTGAGGAAGATCAGCCCTGAGCTAACATCCATGCCAATCCTCCTCTTTTTTGCTGAGGAAGACCGGCTCCGAGCTAACATCTATTGCCAATCCTCCTCCTTTTTTTTCCCCAAAGCCCCAGTAGATACTTGTATGTCATAGTTGCACATCCTACTAGTTGCTGTATGTGGGATGCGGCCTCAGCATGGCCGGACAAGTGGTGCGTCAGTGCGCACCCGGATCCGAACACGGGCCGCCAGTAGCGGAGCGTGCGCACTTAACCACTAAGCCACGGGGCCGGCCCCATTGTGGGTTTTTACTTAAGGTATAATTGACACATAACATTATATTAGTTTCAGGTGTACAACATCATGATTTTATATTTGTATATGTTGCAAAATGATCACCACAATAAGTCTGGTTAATATCCATCACCACACATAGTTACAAATTTTCTTTTTCTTGTAATGAGACATTTTAGGAACTTCTCTCTTAGCAACTTTCAGATATACAATACAGTAATGTTACATTATAGCCCCATGACTTATTTATTTTATGACTGGAAGTTTGTAACTTTTGATTCCCTTCACTCATTTCATCCACTCCCCACTCCCTCCAGTGGCAACCACCAATCTGTTCTCTGTGTCTATATGAGGTCAGGTTTTTGGGGTTTTTTTTGTTAGATTCCACATACAACTGAGGTCATATGGTGTTTGTCTTTGTCTGACTTATTTCATTTAGCTTAATGAGGTCCATTTATGTTGTTGCAAATGGAAAGATTCTCTTCTTTCTCATGGCTAAACAATATTCCATTATACATATACCACATTTCCTTTCTTCATTCGTCCATTGATGGGTACTTTGGTTGTTTCCATATCTTGTCCATTATAAATAATATTTCAATGATTACAGGGGTGCATA